TGGCCGTCGCAGTCCGGCTTATGGCCCTCGTAGGTCTGCCGGCGGCCGTCGTAGCTCTGCTTGTGCTCCGCGTTGCGCTGCTGGTGGTCCGCGTAGCTTTGCTGGTGGCCGTCGTAGCTCTGCTCGTGGTCCGCGTAGCGCTGCTGGTGGCCGTCGGAGCTTTGTTTGTGGCCGTCGTAATTATGTTGGTGGCCGTCGTACTTTTGCTCGTGGTCCGCGTACCTCTGCCTGTGGCCGTCGTAGCTCTGTTCGTAATCTGCGTTGCCCTGCTTGTTGTCCGCGTAGCTCTTCTGGTGGCCGGCGTAGCTCTGCTTGTGGCCGTCGTAGCTGTGCTTGTGGTCCGCGTTGCTCTGCTCGTGGTCCACGTAGCTCAGCTGGTGCCCGTCGTAGCTCTGCTGGTGGCCGTCGCAGCGCTGCTGGCAGTCCGCGGCGGGCAGCGCCGGGGGGGGGCACGAGGCTGGCCTGCCCGAGGTCGTGCTGAATGGTGCCGCAATCCCCGCTGTCGTCGTAACAGCGAGCATCGGGAAAGCTGACTGGAACGAACTCGGCACAGTTCTTGTTGAACTTGAACATGCTGCTGGCGGCCACGCCACTCGTGTTCCAACGCCGTCGCATGAGGATGGCCAGGTCTTTCGTTGTGGAGTTGCCTTTGCGGGCCGCGTAGGCCAACCTACGGTAGGCAGCTGCCTCAAGAATGCGGCATTCGTGGTCTCGAAAAACACGGGGAAGTCTCGGATGGAACCGGTAATCTGGTAGCTGGTTCATCTTGGCGTCGTGCCTGAATAACAACACACCACTCCAAGGCCTGACCAAAACTTGAAAATGTACCCGCGGTCAACGATGTCCCGGGGGCTCCTGTAAAGCTTGGTATGGATAGTCAAGTACAAAAGGTACTTGATGATCGGACTCATTCATTCGTTCACATCATTGGCGCCGATAGTTCAAGTGAGCACATCTCGCTGAGAACAAAAAGTGCAACCCAGATCTGTGATCAAAGGTGCGATGCCCCTGCACTTCTGGCGGTCCAAGAGTCCCCACCCCTTGTGGGTGGACTCGTAGCATGTGCAGCGAATTCGGAGTGAAGAAATACAGGGGCCTGTACCTCTTCCTCGCGGGCGTATGGCGCCGCGCTGGGCGCTGCCAGGCCAAGGCGGGGGGGGGCTCGTCCCTCCCCGGGGCCTCGGCCAAACGCCTCGTCGTCGTCGTCGTCGTCCTCCTCCTCCTCCTCCTCCTCAACCGCCTCCTCCTCCTCCTCCGCATCATCCTCCGAATCATCATCATCATCATCAGCAGCAGCAGCAGCATCATCATCAGCATCATCATCACCATTATCAGCATCATCGTCATCATCATCATCATGATCACACCTACCGTCATCATCATCATCATCAGCACCACCATCATCATCAGCATCATCATCACCATCAGCATCAGCATCAGCAACAACATCACCATCATCGTACGCATGCTCGCCATCGGCTCAGACGTGACAGTGCCATTCATCATTCTACGCGCGGCGACCGCCGGCGAAAGCGCGCGCGCGCGGAGCAAGCAGTCGGAGGCGCGCGACGGACCGCCAGCGCGCGCGCGCGAAGCAAGCAGGCGGCGGAGAAAACGCCGCACCCCCAGCTGCCAGCGCCGATGGCTGGCAGCATTCTACGCCGATGATCCAACCGGGCGTGCAGAAACCATCGATGTCGCGACCGACCACCCTGCCGGGCCGCGGGCTCCGCTTGCACATACCTCCTCCCTCGCCCCCCCCCCCCATCCACTCCCTTTCTCGACCTCTTCCTTCCCGCCCCGTTCCTCCTCGTTCCTCTCACCTTTTCCTTCCTTAACACCTCCTCCTCCTCCTCCTCCTCCTCCTCCTCCTCCTCCTCCTCCTCTTCCCACCTCCTTCCCCCCTTTCTCGACCTCTTCCGTCCTTCCTTCCTTCCCACAAGGTATCACGCAAAGCCCGTTCCTCCTCCTCCTCCTCCTCCCCCTCCTCCTCCTCCACGGGCCACCGCGTCTCTTGGCCACGGATCCTCCAGCCGACCACGGAGACCCTCATGCAGAGCTCGATGAGGAACACCACCGCGAATAAGTTGTCAAGCACCTGCCTCCATCCACCCCTGGACAACTCGGAGGGGGAATCAAGGAGCGAGAGTAGCAGTACCAGCAAACACAGCAGGCGTGATAGGAGTGGTGGCGCGAACGGTGGTGGCAGAGGTGAAACAAAGCTGAATAGCCTTGGGGCGAGCAAGCGCCGCTGCGCGTAGATTCCTACTCGCCTCCACTTCGCCAATAAACCATGGTGAATGCGGCGGTGGGGGGGCTCACTCCAATCCTCGTCTGTAGGGGGCAAAAGGGGATACTCATCATCGTGAAATCTGAATCCAGCATCGAGGCCCCCCAACAAAAAAAAAGCTTGCCGGAGCAAGGCACGCCCATGGTGAGAATACGCAATCGCAGGAAGGGTGGTGATAAAGGGGGAGGGGGCAGGGAGGCGAGGCATGGACGGGGGAGCGGGAGGAGGGGAGGGAGGGCAGGAGGAGAGAGGGATCGGGCCAAGGGGGCGGGGGAAGGGCGAAGGGGGGGGGGGGGGCAGAAACGTGGGCAGAACTGGGAGCAGGAGTGGGGCGAGTCATGCTTCCCCTGCTCCTCCCCCCCCCCTTCCCAGACCAAGACGAAACTCTAACTGGTCCTTCCTCTTGTTTCTTTCCTTCGTAAGCGTTCCTCGTGTCCTCCTCCTCCTCCTCCTCCTCCTCCTCCTCCTCCTCCTCCTCCTCCCTGTATTCCTCCCTCCAGGCTCCATATTCCTCCGCTCCATTCTCCTCTCCTCTCTTATCCCTCTTTCCTCACCTCCCCTCTCCCATCCCCACTCCCCCGCCCACATCAATTTCCCCATCCATCCCGTTTCTCCCCTCTCTCCATTACTCGTCGTTGGTCGTCCTCCTCCTTTCGTTCCTTCCCTTTCACGCTCGCTATCCCCCTTTCCCATCGCATTGTCCTCCTCTCCCGTCCACTACCCTTCGCCTTCCTGCTCCTCCCGTTTATTCCTTTGCCCCTTCCGCCCTCCATCCTCCCTCCTGATGCCCACTCCGTTTGCTGCGTCCTCTGCTACCTGTCATCACGACAACGACCGTGATTCCATTTCAACGTGCGGCTCTCGATTTAGCGCCGCGCACATTCGTTCTACAAGTTTGCAACGATATCAAGGATTCTCGTGGATACCGTCCCACAGCTGATGTTTTGGTATGGTGCCAGACTGTCAGGGCGCAATAGCTACGTTGATTCGCGTTGTTGGAATCCCCGGAATCGCGTTCTGGCACGATTCAGCACCCCCAACCGTAACGCAAACTCACGGAGCTGAAGCCCCTGGAATTCTGTTATGGCACAGCTTTGGATGTTCAAGCGGTTCTCTTTCCACGGGACACTTCCCTCAGTGAAAATGAACCCTGGTCGGGGCCTATGAGGAGGGAGACCGGAAGAAAGGTCTATTACACGATATTTGGTGAATATTAGGTTTGCAGTGGTCCTCCTCCTACTCCTCCTCTTCCTTCTTCTCCTCCTCCTCCTCCTCCTCCTCGTCCCCCCCCTCCTTCCCGAAGGGCGACGGTAGGGGGGGCCGGCTCAGGGGGAGACAGCGAGGAGGAACCTTCCAGGTTCGACGTTCGAGATGATGTTGCTTTTTCGTTGGCACCAGCACCTGCGCTTCGACGAGCGGCTCCGAGAGCGCCCGAGACGCATCGAGCGGCCGCTGGAGATCTCGACGTCCGTGGGCGGGCCATCGGGCCTCCGCGGCGATCACGGGGCGTTCGGGGGTCGATGCGCCCACCCCGCGCCCTGCGCCTACGGTAAGAGGATTTTGCGTCTCCGCGTCGGAGGACTTGCTCTTGTCGAAGAGCTCTACGAGGTATTAGTAGAGTACGAATAGCTTCGCGGACCTAGCTCTAGTAACAGACCGAGTTCAGACATTTAGATGCTTGAGACTTACGCGCCTGACGATTCTAGATCTATTAGATGTGCTTACGAGCTCTGCAGCTATCCTACAGCTCAAGTTAAGTAGAGAAAACCGGCATCCAGGAGTTCACACAAGCGACCCGCGGCCGCGGGACGCGCGCGAGCTGGAGAGGCGGGGGCGGCAGCCTCCCCGGGAGCCCGGGGCGGCCGCCCGTCGGCTGGGCTGGAGGCACGCCGTGGCCCCGAGGGCCCGCGCCCGTGCGCTCCTGCGACGAGGGCGGGGCCAGCGCGCTGAGCTGCCGCTCGTCGCCCCCGGGCCTCGCGCCCTTCGAAGTGCCGGCGCGGGCCTGCGCCCTCGAACCCTCCATGGAGCGGACCTCCGCTTCAGGGCGGGGCTTGGCCAGGCGCGGCCGAGGAGGGGGCGGCGGCGCGAGCGAAACAACATCGGGCGCGGGCGGCGGCCCCGCGCCCGCTGGGCAGGGCAGCGGCCCTGCAGCCGCAGGTCGCTTGCGGGCAGCCCGCCGAGCAGGTCCAGCGGCGCTGACCTCGCTCGCTGCCCCTCCGCCCGCGCTAGCGCCCGCGGCCGCCGCGGCCGCCGTCGCCGCCGCGCCCGCGGCAGCGGCCGAGACCCCTGGCTCCCCCGCGGCAGGGGACTCGCCGCCCATACAACAACGCACAGGGCTCCAGGTCGAAGTCTTCGAGCGCCTCCAGGGGCCAGGAGTCTCGCAGGCCCGACTCGGAGATGCGCACCTCCATCTCCGCTGCGAACCCGGCGGCGCCCCTGGATCGGGCGAGGCGCCCCTCCAACATGAGGGCGAGGTCGTCGTCTAGCGCCCAGTGCCCCGCGCCCTCCTTCGCCCGCGCGTCCGCCAGCCTGTTGCCGCGCAGCTCGAGCATGATGAGCTCGCCGCCCCTGACCGCTGCCTCCGAGCGGCGGGTGGTGGTGCGCTTGACGGACGCACCTTCGCCTGCGTCCGCTGCCCTCGCTCGCGGGCGCGCATCGACTGCCGCGGGCCCCTTGGCGCGCCTGGGGGGCCGCGCGGACCTGGCGGCGCCCGCGCAATCGATGGGCAAGTTGGCATTGCCGGCGATCTCCGCGAGGGCCGCCGCCGCCGCGTAGCCCCCCCCGCCGCGCGCCGCCAGGGAGGGCAGCAGCGCGGGCGGGCCCGCGCCCAAGGCTTCAGCGATGAGCTCGCCAGTCGGCGCGAGCACGAGCACGGCCTACCCAGCTCGCCTCAGGCGCGGGAAATCGGAGCGGATGCGCGACCCGTCCGCGAAGACGCGGGCGCCATCGGGCACCGCGAGAGCCCCGTCCCAGCCTCGAGCGCGGCGCCCCCACCGGGGGTGCAACCGAGGCCGCCGCGGCAAGGGCGCAATGCCCAAGAGGGCCCCGACCGCGAACAGGTCTTGGAAGGGCCGGCCAATGAGGCAGCAATCCGCACGTCCCCAAGCGGCCTGTCACGCCGCCAGGGCTCCCACGCTGGGCAGCGTTAGCGCCTATGGGTGACCGCGCCGTCCTCCTCGCCGCATTGCAGGCACTCCGGGTTGATGTCCGACTTGCGCTTGGCCAGCCGAGCCCGGGGCCGGCGCGAGAGCGTCGCCGGCCAGCGCCGGCCGCCAAGCTGGCGCGAGCCTCCACGGCCTCCCGGCGGCCCCCCGAACTCTCTCGGCCAGGAGGGCGGGCGAGAACCTCCGGATGTCGAAATCGCGGCCGCTCTCGTCGGCGAAAATGCCTCCGTCGGCCGTCAGGCGCCACCCGGTGCGCCCCAGTGCCAGGGCGAGCGCCGCGATCGGATCCCTGGCGGCGGCCCTGGGCCGCAAGCAGCTGCCGAGGCGCGCGCTCTCCTGCCGACAGGCCCTGACCGCGGCTTGGGAGGCTTGGCCCGACCGGCGGCTTGGGGGGCATGGCCGATCGCTGCGACCACCAGCGGCTCCTGCCCCCGACCGCTCGCCGCGCACTGCAGGCCGAGACTGAGCGCCGAGCCGAGCGCGAGGCGCCCAGCGCACACCGCCAGCTGCGACGCGGAGGGTTCGCGTCCTGCCCGGGGGAATGCCAGAGGTGGCCGAGCGCTGGATAGTCTCGGCCGCGGGCCCCGCGCGCGATGCGCGACTGGCGAAACCCAGGTGCGAAGATCCCGGTGGGCCGCGCTGCCTGTCTCAGCGCGTCAAGCTCGCGGTGGACCTGGATCGCCACTCGGCAGCGGCCCCCCGCCGCGGCGCCCCCGCCAGGGCCACGGCGGCCAGAAACGAGAGACGAGGGCGGGGGCACCCACCGCGCGAAGTTAAGCAGGGCTCGCTGGAGCTCCGCTGACGACGCCAGCACCTCCGTCTTGCCCCAGTTGAGCGGGTGCCTCTTGTCCCGCGGCACGGCGACCGCACCGCCCACTCGCTGCGGGGCCGCCTGCCGCGCCCTGCTACATCGTCGGTGACGCCCACCACTCCCCCGGCAGGCAGCAAGGCGCGCCCCTGGAGCAGCAGGTCGCGCAGCGCGAGGCGCGCCATGGCGGTGGCGCGCGCAGGCGCGGCTAGCGATGACAGGCCCGAGCGCGGAGATGGCCTCGATTCGCAGCTCCGTCGACCGCGGCGCTCATCGGCCCCGAGTAGGTCGCGCGCAACGGTTGGACCAACCCCGCACTGAAGCCATGCGCCCAGGCGGCGCGCCCGAAGATGTCGTTGCCCATCCCCTCGTGGAACTTGCCGGTGTCGAAGAAGACGAAGGCTCCGTCGAAGCTGGCGGCCCGCGACAGCCCGAGGTGGAGATTGCGCAGGCAGGCCGCTCGGTCGCAGCTCGCGTCGGGGCGCTGGCACCAGACCTCGGGCAGCGCGCGCTCGGCTGCCCATAGCGTCGTCTCATGCGGCCCCACAAGCGCGGCCGCGCGCGCATCGGCCCGATCGGGCGCCGATCCCCATCAGGCAGGCCCAACAAGGCAATGATCGTGGCGAACAGATCCAAGGGCCGCGGCTGCCTCTCCCGCGCAGCGAGGACATCGGCCAGGCGCACAGAGAAAATGCTGCCGAGGTTCGAGAGGAGCTCAAGGTGGAAAGCGCCCCAGCCGACGGCCGTGCTCACTGAGGCGTCGTGAGCCGTGATCGGCGGAAACTCCACCGGGCGCCCCCAGTCTGCGGGCCGCGCCGTCGGCCCCTTCTCAGGCCCGCTCCACGGGGCCCCCCAGTCAACCAAGATGCGACGCAGCGCCTGGTGCCCGACCAGCGGCGCGGGCACCCCGCCGAGCAGGGGCTCGCTGAGAGTGGGCGCCTCTTCACGGTGGACCTTCTTTATGACCGCGTGAGCTCCGCGGCCGCCTCCAGCCGGCGCCTCGTCCACGAGCTCCTTCCAGCGTTTCTTGCTGCGCAGCGAGTCCGCTTTGACGTGCGCCACCATCGCGGCCGCGATGGCTTCCTGGAACCACGCGCCTTGCCTGGGGGCCGCCTGTACTTCTGCTAGCATCGAGTTCACGCGCATGCCGCTGAACATGTTCCAGCCCTGCTGGTCGAACTGCGGCGCCAAGGAGAGCGCGGTGCGCTCGAGGTGCCGCAGCTGCGCCCATCAGGCCTGCAAGCCGCAGCCGCCGCCGCCGCCGCCAGCTGCTTCACCAGGCGGCCCAGCGTGAGCCACACGCGGGTGAGCGGGCTGACTCTCCTCGTAGTCTCCGCTCTCTCCAGGCCGACCAGGCGCTCACTGACCCGTCTGACCCCCTTTCGCGCGTCCGAAGTACTGGTCAACTTTTTTCTCCTCAATACCGAGAATATTGCCCAGGTGCTGCTCGGCGACCTCGAAGAACCCCCGAACTGCCGCATCAGGGCGGCCTGCCGAGTCTCGCAGCGGATTCTGCCACCTCACGCTGCTGGCCGTCTTGCCTGATGCCTCCCTGGTCTCGTCGGCAACCTCCGTGTTGCCATCGAGTCTCCTCGGCGATTGTGAAACCCACGTGCGCAACTGGGACCCCAATTGGCTGAATGGCAGGCGCACCGGCGCGTGCGGGTGGGTCGTGGTGGGGCTCAGCAGCTGGACCAGGGGGCTCAGGGCAGCCAGCGACACCGAGATCACGAAGTAGTCGTGCGTGCGGTCGCCGCACGTGGGGAGCGTGGGCGCGACAACGGCACTTCCCACTGCTCTGGGCCACCAAGATCCCTCGAGGGTGCGGGGCTCCATATTCCAGCCAGCTCCGACAATGAAGGGCTCAGAGAACTCCCCGAAGAACGGCTGCAGGTCGCCAAGCAAGTCCACGTGGGATCCGTGGAGCCCAAAGAAGTTGTCCAGGTAGGCGCTGACCATGAGGACCACCAGGTCTCCGAAGGCTACTCTCCTCGCTATCAGCCTGGCATACTGGAGGCCCAAATCCTGGTCGACCGTGTTGGCCCCTCGGCGCACGGCCGTGAGACTCGCCACTCCTGACGAGACCGCCTGAACAGCTGAGCCTGTCTTGCGGCACGGGCTGAAGGCCGCGTGCATCCCATTGCGCGCCGTCCATCCCTTCGCCGAGTCCTCGGCCTGCTGCGACGTGAAGCGGGCCTCCTGCAGCAGGAAGACGTCGTCGCGCGGTGAGAACATTGGATAAGGAACAATTTGGGTAAGGATGCCAGGGTCTGGAAGCGGGTGGAGGTCGAATCGTGGATCCGCCAAGGAGATCGCCGCCGCCCTCATCGGATAAGGGATCCTCCGGGATCTGAAGCCTCCTGGGCACATTGCTTGACCAACGCTCCCACCGTCTGCCCCCCCCCCGACGTTGCCCATTGGCCTTTGGGTCCTAAGTCGGCTCCCCGGCGGCCGTTCGGGAAGATCCAGGCACCCTCGGAATCCCGTCGGCGAGGCGCAGCTGCTGGAGAGCATCTCACGACTGGCGAACCGCCAGGAACCGACGAACATGCTAGGAAACCTCAGACGTCGAACCCCCATGGGCCCATCCCCCCCTGACGTTGCCCTTGTCCTCCGCCAACTCCCGGCGTCCTTGACTGCCTGCGGAACCGCCCGCAAACCAACCCGAAGACCAAAATTTCCGGTTGGAAGGGTACGGGATTTGAATGTGCTCTCAGTGCTTCCCGACGCTCCCGCCATTGGGAGTGGAGGGCACATCGGGCCTTCGGGTTAGGTTGGGGTGGTTTGGTGGTGGTGGTCGTCGTCGTCGTTGCCCCCATCGTCGTCGTCGTGGGTCGTCGTCGTAGTCGTCGTGGGTCGTCGTCGTCGTCGTGGTCGTCGTCGTCGTGGGTCGTCGACGACGTCGTCGTGGGTCGTCAAGGTGGGTCGTCATCGTCGTCGTCGTGGGATGTCGTCGTCGTGAGTCAGCGTCGTCGTCATCGTGAACGTCGTCGTGGGTCGTTTCGACGTCGTCGTCGTCGTGGGTTGTCGTCGTCGTCGTGGGTCGTCGTCGTGTTCCCCGTCGTTGTCGTCGTGGGTCGTCGACGTCGTCGTCGTCGGCGTCGTGGGTCGTCGTCGTCGTCGTCGTCGTCGTGGGTCGTCGTCGTGGGTCGTCGTGGGTCGTCGTCGTCGTGGGTTGTCGTCGTCGTGGGTCGTCGTCGTCGTCGTCATCGTCGACGTCGTCGTGGGTCGTTTCGACGTCGTCGTCGTCGCCGTTGTCGTCGTCGTCGTGGGTCGTCGTCGTGGGTCGTCGTCGACGTCGTGGGTCGTCGACGTCGTCGTCGGCGTCGTGGGTCGTCGTCGCCGTTGTCGTCGTCGTCGTGGTCGTGGGTCGTCGTCGTGGGTCGACCTCGTCGTCGTCGTCGTGGGTCGTCATCGTCGTCGTCGTGGGTCGTCGTCGTCGTCGTCGGGGTTTGTCGTCGTGGGTTGTCGCCATCGTCGTGGTCGTCGACGTCGTCATGGATCGTCGTCGTCGTCGTGGGTCGTCGTCGTCGTCGTCGTCGTCGTGGGTCGTCGTCATCGTCGTCATCGTGGGTCGTCGTCGTCGTCGTGGGTCGTCAAGGTGGGTCGTCGTCGTCGTGGGTCGTCGTCGTCGTGAGTCAACGTCGACGTCAACGTCGACGTCGTCGTGGGTGGTTTCGACGACGTCGTCGTCGTCGCCGTTGTCGTCGTCGTGGGTCGTCGTCGTCGTGAGTCGTCGACGTCGTCGTCGTCGTCCTCGTCATCGTCGTGGTCGTCGTCGTCGTGGGTTGTCGTCGTCATCGTCGTGGGTCGTCGTAGTCGTCGTGGGTCGTCGTCGTGGGTCGTCATCGTCGACGTCGTCGTGGGTCGTTTCGACGTCGTCGTCGTCGTCGTCGTCGTCGTCGTTGTCGTCGTCGTCGTCGTCGTGGGTCGTCGTCGTCGTCGTCGTGGGTCGTCGTCGCCGTCGTCGTCCACGTCGTCGTCATCGTCGTCGTGGTCGTGGGTCGTGGTCGTGGGTCGTCGTCGTGGGTCGTCGTCGTGGGTCGTCGTGGGTCGTCGCCGTCGTCGTCGTCGTCGTCGTCGTCGTCGTGGGTTGTCGTCGTCTTGGGTTGTTGTGGGTCGTCGTCGTCGTCGTCGCCGTCCTCCGCCAACTTCCGGCGTCCTGGCCCTGTGGTGATTCCTCCCGCTGCCCCGCTGCGCTGGCGAGACGTGGCATGACAGGCGAGCGCCGTCTTCGCAGGCTTGTAGAACTGGGCCCTCCCCAGCAGGGTCTCCACCTGGGACGGAGGGGACAACGAGGGCCTGAAAAAATCACAACGGGAGGTTTGTTCGCTATTGTGTCCTCATTTTCCTCCTCCTCCTCCTCCTACTCCTCTTCCTCCACCTCCTCCTCCTCCTCCGCCTCCCTTCCCAGACATGATCGCATCTCTAAAAGATCAAGGCGGGAGGATTTGTGTGAGTGTTTGGAACATGGGAGCGGAGGGGGGAGTGAAAAGAAATATACACATATATATATATACATATATATATATATACATATAGAGAGAGAGAGAGAGAGAAACGAAAAACGGCATAAACAGAAACGGCGGAGGCTCCGCGAGGATTTCTTGGATCTGCGCTGAAAGCCCCCTCCTTGGCGCGCGGAGCGCGACAGAGGCGGCGCCGGAGGCGCCGCCAGGGAAGTCAAGCGCAGATTCACTAAATCCGCGCCGGGCGTCAAACCTGTTATGTTTATGCCTCCGGTATCCCGACGGTATCCTTTCGGTGCCCCGTCTGTCCCGACCATGTCCTGTCGGTGTCCCGGTGCTGTCCCGTCGGTGTCCCATACTGAGATCGATCGTGAGATCGATAATGGGATCGATAGTAGGACCGATCGTGAGACCGATACTGACATCGATCGTGAGATCGATAGCGGGATTGATCGTGAAATCGTTAGTGAGATCGAAAGTGCAGTCGATAGTGGGATCCACAGTAAGATCACGAGCGATATCGATAGTGAGATTCCGAATGATGTCGATCGTGAGGTCCATAGTGAGATTGATAGTGAGATTGCCAGTGATATCGAGAGTGCGATCCATCGTAAGATCGAATGCAAAAGTGATCCAATGGAATCGATTGCGACATCGGTAGTGAGATCGATGGTGAGACCGAGAATGAGATCGATAGTACGATCGATTGTGATATTGATAGTGAGATCATGTAAGAAACGGTAGTGAGATCGTAGTGAGGTCGATGGTGAGATGCATGATGAGATCGGTAGCAAGATCAATCGTACACTCGATAGCAAGATTCTGGGATTCATTGAACGATACATTGGCTAGCCCCCCCACAACCGAAGGGAGATCGCACAGGTGTATACATGCGTGCTGGTGTGTATCGAAGACTTGAAGAGGGGAGAGGAGGAGAGATAAGGGATGAAGGACGGCACAATGCTCCCGAGGGGAGAGCGGAACTGAATGCGGACGGAGAGGGGGGGGGAAGGGGCAGCAGTAGCAACAATAAGAGCGGCTAGGACGAGAAGACGGAGGGCAATGTTAGGGGAAAGACAGTTGGAGGATGGGTACGCAAGATGGGAACTTCAAAACAACGGGAGGATGGAGGATGGGCACGCAGGATGGGAAACAGAAGAACTACGAAGAGGAGGGGGGGCCAGGGGAGGCGGAGCGAGGAGAAAGGAGGACGCACACCAGCCCATGCGCTTGATGGGGGGGATCTTGATAGCGCAGTGGGGACCCATGGGCAGGAGGGCAACATGGGAATACAATGCGAGCGTTCAGAGAGGAGGTGTGGTCCTTGCGGGGGAAGGGGGCCGAAGATACCAAATGGCATTCCCCCCCTTCGCAGCGTACAGCTACTACTAGAATAACAGCTACCCTCATGCCTAATGCGACGACTACGGCTTCTATGACTACGACTACTACGGCTACTACGACAACTACGATTGCTACAACAACAACTACTACTACGGCTACTACTACTACTACTACTACTACTACTACTACTACTACTACTACTACTACGACTACGACTACGACTACGACTACGACTACTACTACTACTACTACTACTACTACTACTACTACTACTACTACGACAACTACTACTACTACCACTCTACTACTACTACTACTACTACTACTACTACTACTACTACTACTACTACTATTACTACTACTACGACTACGACTACTACTACTACTGCTACTACTACTACTACTACTACTACTACTACTACTAC